TTACATTGCCACAGTTTGGTTTTTTAATATCAAATATAATCATATTTTTCTGTAATATTTCAGCTATAAAAACACGGGAGGAAAAGAAAAGTATCAGGACAGCTGATCGTACAGTACTTAACAGATTGTACTCCTTACCGACGACGACGACTGAAGAGGCAACCGAACCAACCGTCAAACACTTAGAGACAAAGTGGCTCCTGGTGCCGTCTGTTTGCACGTGACAAACTAGTCCCGCGTAAGTGTAAACAAGGCCTTTAACAGATCATCACGCCAACCGGTCTCAGTATTCTCTTTAACAATAATCAAACACTTGCTGATCTGCTCGTAGCATTCACTGACACATGACACGTTTCTTTCACTTGCCCTTTCGCCGCCCTCCAAACTGACATTTCCAAACCACATCACCACAAAGTTCACGCTCACTATACTCACTGTCCACTTATCGACGACACTGCACAACATCTATTGTCACCACTCTTGTCTTCGTCCGCCCTGCAGAAAGAGAACAGAGATCCAAAGCCGGCCTATTCAGGCATCACGTCGGAGCTTTTCCCACCGGAATTGAAGGTGCGTGGGGACAGACTGCTGGGAGTCAAAACCACAAACACAGCTGCTTTTCCTTCCCTTGCTCAAGAGGACAAAAGGTTCCAAGTCCAAGGTGATTCTGACCTCTGTCTTTCCCGGCCAGTTTGTCGTCTTGTGCCACGTTTCATAGTAAGTTCATAAATTAGATAACTGTATTTCAGGGACGAGTACAGATGGGGAGAGGTTCTCAAAGAAAGAAGGAAAACCTTTGAAAAGGACCATATAGTGAGGGGGGCAGGCGTAGCACTCAGTCCGAGGCATCGTGAGGGGCCGAGTCCAACATTTCCTCCTTCCTGGATCCATCGAGTCATTCCTCAATCAACCCCCAGTCCCTTTTGTGCTCCCGTAGTTTGACCACTGCTGGGGAGTTCCCTGACATCCAAAGGTTTGTGTGTGTGTGCGTGTGTGTGTGCGCGTGTGATAGATGATGGAGATGATGAGCTTGGTCACAATATGGAGCAGTGGAACCTGTGGGAGGCCGTGGAACGCTCCGCCCTCCACTTCATCTTCTTTTTCTTCTTCTGGTTCCTCTCTGGGACCTGTTGTCTGCAGGCAGCAAAAAAGAAGAAAAAGCATAAACCTCTTTTTTAATCATTTGAAAGCAAAACTTTAACTTTGTACTTATACGTAATTATCTCATATAAATGATCATTTTTCTCCAGCTCAGGAAATCATCATTTTAATCTCCAAATTTTACCCACAAGGTCAGTTTCCCAAGTTTTACTTTTGATTTCCATTTCTGACGCTGAGTAGTGGGAATCAAATTTAAAAACAGCAGATAATGGCAATGATCACCCTGAACTAGTACATTACGCCCCTTTAATAAAACTCTTTTTATAACCTTTGCACTGTTTTTACTGAGCTCCAGGTTTGTGTGTCTAATGTTTTCCTGTTCTCATGTCTCCAGAAACGAGACAGAGCCGAGTCCACTGCTATAAAAGAACCCATAAATCCATAAATCAATGCGCTGGCTGTTGCTGATTAAGTTCAGCATTTCATGAGTGCTCAGGGCAGATCATTCAATATTCTGCAAACCTGCCTGGTGACTGGATGTCTAAAGTATGACCACAGGAGGGCAGTGTTGATTCATCGAGCTCCAAATGTGTTGCAAAGGAAGAGTTTTCTCATGAGTCAGCAACAAGCTGGCAAACGCACAATAAGAGCTTTCCACAAGTCTAGTAATCTTTTTTTTTT